AGGGTCACTAGGACTCATGGTCATTAATCTGAGGAGACAAACAAGCATGTGCCTGGTTCTAAACAATCTTTTGTTCCAGTTGAAGGTTTAAGCATCCGTATCCAAAGCAAGCTCCAGTCAAATTACCATCAAACCATCAAATTACAGCAATTTATACCAGCTCATGATACCAAACACCTTTCTTTTCTTTTGCTTAGGTTTTCATCCCTATGTCCCGTGAGCCAGGTCACTGGGCGCCAGCCATAGCCTTGGAAGACCACACAAGTCCCTGCACCTCACACCAGCCCCCTTCTCTCTCTCATCCCTAGCACCCACGGGCTAAGTCAGTAGGAACATGCCCAAACGCAGCAGTCTTTTCATTGCTACACCTCCCCAATTTCCACTCTTCAAGCAGACCCAGGTAGTCACCACAATTGGAGCTTACCAGGCTGTCTACTCACTAACTCCCTTCAACTTTCCCTCCTGGAAGGGGCTCTTCTGATGGGCGGTGACTTTTCTTGCCTCAGTGCACCCTGCTTGCTAGTCGGATGGCAGTAACCGACCACTGTCCTCTTCAGGGTTCCCAACATCTATTTACATGTTCCCACTCACCAATGACCAGGGGTCTTTAAGCACTTCATTTGCATAGCTCCATTCAGTCATTTTGTGGGAGTTACAAAACTGGAAGAGCCATATGAAGTAATTCATTGGGCGAAAGAAACTAACAGCAACTGGGTTCCTCTCAGCACTAATGCCAACATGAAATTGCCCTAGGTTGTGTGGCTGTCAACTTCTGTTTTTTTATGAAGACCAGAAAATATCATTGGGCCTCCATCAGCATCTTTGTCTTACCGCACCCAGAATTTGCCCCCAGAATTTGCCTGTGCTCCACTGAAATGCCCCAGCAGCTGTCTGGCCTGAGGATACAAACCTTGAAGAGAAGAGGGAGGGGGCTGGGAGGGAGGGAGGAGGAGGGAGGGTGGACAGGGTGGAGCTCATTTGCCTAGAGGTGCTTCAGACTGACTGATCACAGAGCACTGGCTCCTTCCCCAGAAAATAGGGGAGTGGCTTTAGGAGCTCATCAGCCGAGCAAGGTGCCTTTGTGGAGAGAGCCTGACACTGTCTTAAGTTCTCTGCGGGACCTGGGGTAGCTGGTGGGAATCCAGACACAGCTTCCTACTTCTGCTCTCGGGTCTTTGGAAGAAAATCAAGACTAACTGTGGCCCCCTAAGCTCGCCTGGAGAGTGGCCTGGCATTGGCCAGAAAGAAAGAAGCAACCCTTACTCCCCGGCTGACTGCCTCCACCCAGCCAACCAGCCCGAGCCATGGATAAATTCCGCATGGTCTTCCAGCACTTCCAGTCCAGCTCCGAGTCGGTGATGAACGGCATCTGCCTGCTACTGGCTGCGGTCACAGTCAAGCTGTACTCTTCCTTCGACTTCAACTGCCCCTGCCTGGCTCGCTACAACACCCTCTACGGCCTGGGCCTGCTGCTGACTCCTCCGCTCGCCCTTTTCCTCTGTGGCCTCCTCGCCAACCGGCAGTCCGTGGTGATGGTTGAGGAGTGGCGCCGGCCTGTGGGGCGCCGAAGGAAGGACCCAGGCATCCTCAGGTGGGGTCATCCAGGTACCCCGGGGACACTGCCAGGGCCTCCCCCAACTCCCCTCCTGTATAGGCACTGCCAGAGGCCCCTCCAGCTCCGGCCACCCAGGGGTATTGTCAGGGGCTCCCCGGCTCTCCAGCCACTCATTCCCATAGGTGCTTTACAGCAACACGCCAAAGCCCCAACTGAGGGGCCCCAACAGCTGGTAACAAAAAATATGGTTGATTCAGCCCCCTCTGTGACACCTCGGAACAGGTCTGGCCTTCTCTGCTTCTGTAAGGATTATAGCCAGCAAGACCCGATGACTCCATTGTACTCTGTTAACAGATTAGGTCTTTCCACAGTCACACATCAACAACACCACAGAATTGAACTCTCACACCCCCACAGGCATCGGCAGGGGCTCCTCCAGTGACCCCCCCTCCACAAGCACCTGCCACTTCCCACTCTGAAAGCAGGCGCTTCTGCTCCTGTCTTTGGCGACCTTTCTGTGGGCAGTGGACAGCCTGCCCCAACACACACAACTAATACAGTATTTCCAAGAACTCCTCCCCTCAGGCAGGAGCCACCGTGGCCTGACAGCGTATCCCCCTGCAGTGAGAAGCAGTGATTCAACTAATAACCGTCTCCCCACTGCTGGGACCTCCGAAGAGAGGGGGACCTCATCTCTCGGCACCTCTGGTCCTCAGAAGCTGGCGCTTGGTTAGTGCGGGTGGAGATTACGGGTCATGTTCACTAGCCAACTCTACCCTCAGACTCTGTGCCAAGCGCTTCATGTGCTGCACCTCTGCATGCCCACCCCCACCCTCCATCTGCTCCTTTATCAGACTCCCTCTCACAAGCAGAGGACCTGAGACACAGACCTGGCCCAGGTCCCCCAGCTAGGCTGCAGCACGGTCGGTTGCTAGTCTGGGCTCACTGACCCACCGCTTGGCTGCCCTAAGTGTTTCGGAGACACTATCTAAGCGGTGGAGGTCTGTGGGCAGGGATCGGGGAAGCTTGGTGGCCTCTAGACCACTCAGAGTCTTCTTCCCGCCCCTATTCTTTAAAGAGGACAATTGAGGTTTTCTCAAAGGCGTGGAAGGTAGCTTCACCGAGAAGTCCCTGGTTCCATCCACTAACCTCATGGCTCCCCAGAGAAAATGCTGGTGCTGCCACCGCCCACAACTGACTTCTAATTTGCACCTGGGTAGGCCATGCGAATGTGCACCCACACCCACACACATATACACTCACACACTCGGCACACACCATTTTTCTCTGTATATAAGCTAAGACAGAAACTCGGTGCCCCCGATGTAACAATGATGAGAAATACAACTTTCCTCTAGTTCCTAAATGTTTCCTCCACGCTCCCACTACCATGACTCGAATTCTATCTTGCAAGACTGGCTAGACCAGAGGAGGTACACTGGTACAGATGGGAGCTGAAAATACAAGGAATCCAGGACGGATGAGCCCTATAGGACCAGTGGTGTGAGTGGCAAAACAGGGAGGGTAAAGGGAGAATGGGTAGGAAAGAGGGAACCGATTACATGGAACTGTGTGTGACCTCCTCCCTGGGGGACAGAAAACCGAAAAGTGGGTGAAGGGAGACGTCGGACAGGGCAAGATATGACAAAATACCAATTTATAAACTATCAAGGGCTCATGCGGGAGGGGGGAGCGGGGAGGGAGGGGAAAAATGAGAACCTAATGTCGGGGGTTTAAATGGAGAGAAAATGTTTTGAGAAACGATGTACAAATGCGCTTTACACAATTGATGTGTGTATGGATTGGGATAACAGTTGTATGAGCCCCTAATAAAATGTTAAAAAAAAAAAAAAAAACAGAAACTCGGTGCCCCGTGCCTGGATAGCATCTGCTTCGTGCTCCCTGTGATTCAGCCTTCCACGGTGGGTCACGTGGGCTGGGTGTACCCTCTGCCTCTCCTCCTCGGAGCCAGGGGGTACAGCTCCCCGAGTCTCTTGCCCGGTGACCAGCTCACTACAGGGGCAGGGGTGGTCGGCAGACACCTGAAGCCGGCTCTTCGGATGCCGAAGGAGGTGTTGGCAGTGCTGCCTTTGACAGGTTATTAGGAAGCATTATCTTAGTTAAAACCAAAAACGAACCCCACTGCCATCGATTCAATTCCAACTCCTGTCAACCCCAGCTAGGCTTTCTGAGGCTGCAGATCTCCAATGGGAGCGGCCAGCCACAGCGTTGCCCTGAAGGGCCAGCCGTTGCAAGGGGGCAGGTGGGAGGTGGGGGGGTTGCACTGCCAGCATCAGGGTCAGCAGCCCACCACTTAATGCCAAACCCAAGCCGAACTCATCAATCGATGCCGACTCATAGCCACTTTACAGGGCAGGGTAGAACTGCCCTCGTGAGTTTCCGAGACTGCCACCCTTTTACGGAAGTAGAAAGCCCGGTCTTGTCTCCACTGGAACCACTGATGGTTTCAAACCGCAGGCCTTGTGGGTCGCAGCTCAGTGCGTAACCACTACCCCACCAGGGCTCCTACACTTAGCCCAGGCTCCTCCCAAAGCAGGTTCCAGAAAGAATGTCATCCTCAGTGAGTTGCCGCTCTGAGCAATGAGAGCTGCTCACTGCTTCCGGAGGCCCTCAGAGAGGGGACAGAGAACACACCTCAACACTGGCCCAAGGATGGTTGAGGAAGCTGAGGGATTTATCCACCAGGTTCTGCCCCTTTTGGGTGGTCTTGGGAGCTGTTAGCTCCCCAGCACCTCCTGGCTGTTCCTCTCTGGTGCAGAGGAGGCTACCAAGCCCTCGGCGGAGAGCGGAGGCCTTCCACTCCAATGGACTCATTGCCAACGCTATAGATGCCTCTGGCATGGCAAAGTACCTCAAGAAGAAGACCAAGGCCCCAGAATTCCCTTCCTGATTTCCAGCCCCCCCCCCTCGCCGCTTTCCTCCCTGCCCACTGCTATTGGGACCCTCTATCCCCCCCAGCCCCCCACCCTGGCTGCATCTACTTCTTTGATGCAACACAGGCTAATATTTCCAGCCCTCCTGGGGAAGTTCATCCCCGCATCCCCCTTAAAGCCTTCCTGCTGCATCCTGGTTGCCCTTCACTACCTCGTCTTTCCTCTACGCCCAGGTATATGTGCTCCTCTGTGCTGCAGAGAGCGTTGGCTGCCCCTCTTGTCTGGATCCTGCTGGCCCTGCTGGACGGGAAGTGCCTCGTATGTGCCTTCAGCAGCTCCGTGGACCCCGAGAAGTTTCTGGATTTCGCCAACATGACTCCCAGCCAGGTGCAGCTCTTCCTGGCTAAGGTGCCCTGCAAGGAGGATGAGCTGGTGAGGGACAGCCCTGCTCGGAAGGCGGTGTCTCGCTACCTGCGGTGCTTGTCACAGGTAATATGGTCACCCCGGTGCTTCCCACCACGGTCCTTTCGCTGGCTGTGGTGCCAATGCTGGAGCCCAAGACCAGTGCAACTCACTTTCCTTTCACCAAAGTCCCTGGTCCCAAGTGCCTGCCAAGTGGTGCCACAGGGAGCAGAGGGAGGGGGATGGTTTTCTGAGGGCTCACCCCACTGCTAGACACAGATGGTTCCAGGCAGAGAATCACAGTGTGATCTACTCCCTGGACAGGGCGGGGCCTCAGTCGCTTCCCTCCCCACCCCCACCCCCAGAGTATACAATGGATCCCCATGCCCTCCAGGAGTTGGTTAGGGCCATCCACAGGAGATTGAGTTGCGGGGCAGGGCTGGTGAGTTCAGATCACTGTTGCTCTGCCCTGCCCACAACCCCATCCTATGCCATCCCAACCTTCACAAGTACCCACTGCCATTTCTGCCGGGCACTGTGTTCAGAATGGTACAAGCATGGCTAGTGCCGTTGTTAGGGGTCATCCTGAAGTCAATTCCTTTTCATGGAGACTCCACTTGGCACAGTCCAACTTCCTGGGGGGGAGGGGTGGGGCGGGGCCGTTTCTGGGCTGTAATCCTTATGGAAAGAGATCATCCGGTGCTTCTCCAGAAGGGTCTCTGGACAGGTCCGAACCACCAACAGTTGGGGTAGCGGCCAGGCCCGGCACTGTCTGCACCTCCGGGGCCCTTCTTGGTTTACACGGTTTCAGTGAATTCTCAGGACAATCCTCGTTACGTCAGTTCACAGATAGGAAACTTGAGGCTCTGGTTGTGTCATTCCTAAGGCCAAGCAAGGTCCCAGAGCTGTGAGAGGCAGGCTGGGTATCTGAATGCACACATGCACACGTCACTGCTCCAAGCCCTCTTCACCACCTCTCTGTAATGCAGATCCCTCACCGCCCCTTGACCCTGAAGCCTTCGCCCCCACCCCCCCACCCCACCCCCAGCTCCATGATCCTGGAGCAAACCCTAGCCTCACCGTAGTCTCTACAGCCCACCGCTTCCTCCTCCTGGGGCTCCATCCACCAAAAAACATTGGCATAAATTTGCTGCATAAAGAGCACCACTCACAGGGTGGAAAGTATAGAGACAAGCCAGTTTCCCTTTGGGAAACTGAGACAAGCCGATGGCACATGCCAGCTGGTGAGAAAAACGAAGGGGAGAGAAAACCAAAGATACAATTGATTCTGGTCCAGGCTGTGACCTTGGCCAAGCCCTTCCCCTCTTGGCCCCAATTTCCCTTGCAGAAGATAGTGCAGTGGGACTTGCGCATGGGCTGTGCCCTCAGAGAGACTAGGGTTGTTTGCATTTCCATTCGGGAAAAGAAGGAGTGTGCCCAGTGTGGGCTCCGACCAGTGTCTTCTCCCTGTTGCTCCTGCTGGTTTCTGGTCTGGAGCAAGGGTCCCCTGAGGATACAGTTCCTCACCCTTCAGGCCTCAGCTGAAGTGCCACTGCCTTCTCTGAGTCCTCAAGCTCCCGGTGGATATGCCCTCCTCTGGATTCCCATGACCTTGTGGCACGTCACCTGTCCTCTCTCTCACGGGCCACTCCCACCCTACAGTGTGAGCTCTGTGAGAGCAAAGGCCAGGCCCCCGGTGCCTCCCACGGTGTGGTCCCCAAAGGCAGGGGGGATGGATGCAGCCGACGTGACCATGGATGAAGGGATGAGTAAAAAGTAGTGCTAGAACAGAAAGACTTCTCACGATGGCTGTAACAATGTCCACATTCAAAGTACCAGCCCCAGGAGAAGGCACTTCGACTCCGGGGAACGTCCTTGTCCCCATCCAACACAGATGTGGGCCTTGGAGATCCCCATGTGTCTTGGTTCTAGGAGATTCACAGCATAGGGACCCTGGGTCCAGAGGACATGCTCAGCTCCTGATTCTTCTTTCTTGGTGGTAGTTGATCCCCCACCTCCCCACCCCTGCCTCCGTCCCCTTCTCGCTCCTTCTATTATTTATTCTATCTCATAAAATAAAAGATGTTGCAGGCCACACCCCAGGAAAACTCCCCTAACATCGGATCAGGGCTGCAGTGAAAACAAGGGTGCAGCAGTCCACTCTGAATCCTCTTATTGGTTTACCACATCAGATAACATCAGGGGGGAATCATCATATAACTGCCAAGCCATTGAGAAGGATGGCCCAGCCAAGTGGACACACATTTTTGGAGGACACAATCTGATCCATGACAAGAGAGAGAGTGATAGATGGATGGATGGATGGATGGATAGATAAGAGAAAGTTTGGGAAGATAGATGACTGGGAGGGGGATGAAAGATTGAGAGGTGGAAGGATGGTTAGGAGAATGATCGGGTAGGAAGATCATCATAAAAAGATGGATGGATGGAGACAAAGTTGGATAGATGACAGGTATCAGGATGGGAGGATGGTTGGAAGGGAAGATAGATGAATTGGAGAAAGGTTGATGGACAGAGGGACAGATAGGGGATGGTTGAGATGAACCAATGGATGGCTGAATGGGAGGATGGATTCGTTGGACAAAGGCTGGGAGAGACTGGAGCACCCTTGCCACACCATACACCTGCTCCCACCTTTGTGCTCCCCCCACCCAGGCCATTGGCTGGAGCATCACCCTCCTGCTCATCATCACAGCCTTCTTGGCCCGATGCCTGAGGCCCTGCTTCGACCAGACAGTCCTTCTGCAGCGCCGGTACTGGAGCAATTACGTGGACCTGGAACAGAAACTCTTCGACGAGACTTGCTGCGAGCATGCGCGCGACTTCGCTCACCGCTGCGTGCTCCACTTCTTCGCCAGCATGCAGAGCGAAATGCGGGCGCTGGGGCTGCGCCAGGACACAACAGGCAGGGACCCCGAGTCCCTAGGGGTTCCCGAGCCAGGAGAGGGTCTGGATGGCGGTAGCAGGAAGGCCCACCTGCGGGCCATCTCCAGCCGAGAGCAGGTGGACCGCCTCCTGAGCACCTGGTATGCCAGCAAACCACCCCTCGACCTCTCGTCATCTGCCAGGCTTCTGGAGAGTGGCCTCAGCCACCGCTCGCCCACGTCCACCCCAGAGGCCAGACTTTCCCAGCACACGGAAGTGTAGGGACTCCCCCAGGCCTGAACAGTGGTAGTATCCCCTAAGAAAAGCCTGCAGGGACAGGGGTGGGGTGGGTGGGGTGAGGTGTTCCAGGCTGCGGTGACCTCAAGGCAAGGAGCCTAATCCTGGTTGACTTCCTTTCCAAAATAGCCCCATTGCTCCCAAAGTGTCCTCTGTGGCCTCCTAGGGATTGGAGAGTAATTAATGCATACCAACATGAAGCCAACCAGGACGGCCACTGAGCTAACACAGGGCCTGGCCTTTCTGGTCAGGGGACCACACTTCAAGTAGCAGGAATCTACATAGATCCATATGGGTTCTGGTTCCTAGGTGTCTGACTTCTAACGAATCATGACAATAAACAATGCTTCTATGGCGGGCACTGTGTGCCAGGCACTGCTCTGACTTCTTTGCATATAGTGGCTCATTGCACCCCTGTGGGAGCCTTGATGAAGAGGCTTTGATTAGTCCCACTTATGAAACGAGGAAACCGAGTCGAGAATCCCCTCCACCGTACCCCGTGAGTCTGCCCTCCGGAGGACAGTGTGGAACTAGTTTTCATGTTCTGGTTGGGCTTCCTGCCACTCTCAGCAACCTTCTCCCAGGAGTTCTACCCAAGTCTACTTGTTGAGCTCCTTGGGAGCGTTCTAGCCGGTGCCTACTACTAATTGCTGCCAGTGAACAGGTTTTGATTTTTCCCGCTGTGGAGATTTTTCTGATTTTGAATGTTAAGGGACTGACCATCCAGCTCCTGTCTTCCTGAATCCCACCCATTCTGTTTCTGGCCAACCCAGGCTGAGTGACCCCGCGTGGTCCTGTCTCTTTCACCACCCAGAGCCTTTCTGGGCTCACACAGTCTGGCTTCCCGTAAGCAGGTGCTTTGTGGCCTCCTCGCCGCCTCTTGTTCCACCTCCAGCCTGGCCCCGGCCCTCAGCATGATCCTTTCCTAAGGACACCACCTCTCCCGTAGGGTCCAGCAGATCACTGCCACCCAGGCATCCCCCTGGGCATCTACCCGCCGCTCTTGGAAAGAGGTTGGCGCACTCGGGTGAGGAGACTTTCACCCAGTGTGCGGTCAATCTGGAGACCCTGCGGGGCACAAGCAGGCTACTAACAGAGGTCAGTGTTTCAAACCCACTCTGAGGCACGTTCAGAAGAAAGGCCTGCCGATCTGCTTCTGAAAAGTCCCGTCCAGGAAAGCCCCCCCAGAGCTCAGTTCCCGCTGCAATGCCTGAGGGCTCCGTGAGTTGACACTGGCTTGAAAGTAACTCCTTTCTGGAGTGACTAGTATGTAAATCCTGGAGGCCTAGGGGGCAGTGCTTGTAGGTTGGGCTCTAACCATGAGGTCAGCAGTTTGAAAACACCAGCCAGCTCCACTGGAGAAAGATGAGGCTTTCTACGCCTGTAAAAAAAATAAGCTACAATCTTGGAAACCTACAGGGCAGTTCTCCCCTGTCTTTGCGGGTCACTGTGAGTCGGAATGGACTCACAGCATGAGGGTTGTCTTTCCTAGAGTTGGTAAACTCTAAGATCTAAGAGCCTGCGGCTAAGTATGGGTGTGGGTCTGGCAGAGGGACAAAAGCCCCGGAAGCACCAGGGTTAAACTTGCTGGGAACCCTACCTCAACCGATGGCCACCCAAACAGGAAGGGCTAGCGGACGAGCCCCTCCCTGCACACACACACACACACACACACACACACACACACATCTTGCTCTTTCCTCCCATCAGCCTATATGGTGACCACACACGTGCAAACCTGGGGCTTCCCCTGGCTTTTCTGCTCCTTGGGGCCTGGGGAAGTAGGATAGGCACCCCCCGCAGAAGCCCAGCAGCCTCTACCAGGCAATCTCAGCTCGCCTGAGCTCTTGCCAAGAGGCCTTGTGAGACCAGACAATCACTGCGGTTCAACCTCCCGGACCTCCCTGGCTGTGGTCAAGCCATGCAAATATCTACAATGGCCAAAATGGAGCCAGGATGAGAATTTAGGCAAAGTTAGCGGCCATGGGGTGGGCAGGGAGGAGGGAGGTAGTCCAGCCAGCACCTCTGAGCTTTCAGCCTGGGGAAAGGAAGCTCAGGGGCTCCACTGGGGGCTGAGAGGAAGCAGTGTGTGGACCAGCTATTGGCCCCTAACTGCAATCAATACACTGGCTTTCCGATAACGAGTACTTACTGAGCACCTACTGCATAGAAAGCAGGGTTTGGGGAATGGAGACTATGCTAGGTTTCTCGGGTGAGAAATACCTTGGCTTCACACAAGAAAGAATTCACACCGAAGCCTGGTTTGTGAACCAAGTGGGTTTTTATAAGGGATAGAAGTGTCGGGTTTTACACAGGCACCCTCAGGGCACTTCACACCCACACAGTGGAGACCTGAGGCCAGAGAAACCACCTGCCGAGGAGCAGCTGGTGGGTTTGAAGTTTCAGCCTTTGGGGGGCTTTCCGCTGGGAGGCATGGTCAAAGGTACTGGTTGACTCCATTGGCTGAATTAAGCCCACCTGGCCTAGATTGGGGCCCTCCCAAGTGTACTGGCTTCCTGTCTCAAGGGCCTGAATTTGTGCATGCCCTCTAGCCTTTATGACTGGCTGGGCTTCCTGATTCTCTGCAGCAACCTCCTATAAGGGTGCTACGTGAGTCTGGGTAGACTAGAGAAACAAATCCATGGACACACATATGTGTATAAGAAAGAGATTTATATACAAGAGCAATTGAACATTGAGAAAACATCCCAGCCCAGTCCAGATCAAGTCCATAAGTCCAATATTAGCCCATATTTCCAATATCAATCTATAAAGTCCTCTTCAGACTCACGAAACACATGCAATGACGCCGAATGTAGAAGATCACAGGCCAGTGGGTAGAAAGTCTGTGGTGGTAGAAGCATCTCAGCGCTGGCAGGGGTCTCCACGTGGCCATTCCAGTTCCCAGGGCTGCATCAGCGTAGGTCCATGTGGCGTCTCCTCAGGGATGGCTCCCAGGAAGTCAGCCTTGTCAGTGGAGAGTCTTCCAAGGGAGTGAACCAAGAGAGAGAGGTGTCTTCCGCCTCCAAGGAGGAAGTACCAGATTTCCCAGAATTCTCAGGAGAAGGCCATGCCCACAGAAGTCTCATTGGCTACCTCCAGATTGACAACCTAGACTCCACCCCTACACTCTTAAGCCTTAAATTGACACCAGATTAGGTGACTACTACAGGTGCCTTGGCATAGGCAGGGACAACTCCCTATCCGGCTACCTAACAAGTACACTCATGGCCTGCTCCTTCCCTTAAAGAGCTCACTATCTGGCAAGGGAACAGAGGTATCTTGCTGTATGCAGAGATGAAAGCAAAAATAATTCAATCCAAAGCAAAAGGTACAAGCACCTCATTGAGGCAGGCCACAGGGATTCAACAGAGAGAATAATTCCTCCAACCTGGGGCACCTTCATGAAGGAGGTGCCACTTGAGTGGGTCTCAAAGAGTTACATTCACGGAAACTCACAGGGGCAATTCTACCTACCCTGTCCTGTGGGGTTGCTGCTATCAGTCAGCATAGACTTGATGGCAGTGAGAATGGTTTTTTGGTTTGTTTGCTTGTTCATCTGTTTAGGGGGTGGGGGGCTGAAGGATGGGGAGGATTTGACAAATGAAGGTAGATGTCTGGGGGGCAGGGGTGGAAGTGAAATGGCACATCAAAGGGGGAAGAAACATCAACAAAGGCATGGGGTTGGAAGAAGGGACAGCATAGCTAACTCATTCAACAAACATTGACTGATTGCCTACAGTGCTGACAGGGTTGTTAGGTAGATGTTGTTGTTAGGTGCCCCTAAGTTGATTGATTCACAGAAATCCTTAGACTTGATTCCAACTCATAGCCATCCCTAAAATTAGTCAATGGTCAACCCATTTCAGGAGGTAGCAGATGATCAAGAACAGATGATACTGCGGGAGGAAGTCCCAAGCTTCACTGAAGGGATTGGTGAGAATTGAAGCTCCGGGACTTGGCCAAATACCAAGTGAAATGTGATGGCACACCGAGACAGCGCTGAGGGTGCCCAAAATTTGGAAGCCCACTGCCTGGCCAACTGGTCATTCTTTGTGCCTATCCCCCCAAAAAAGGTGGCTTAACAGAATGTGGGAATTAGCAAACAATGTCATTCAAGGAACTATCAAACAATGTCATTGATATCACACACAAGTAAAATTTTGCCGAAGATCATTCAAAAATAACTGCAGAGTATATAAAAAAGGAGCTCCCAGAAACACAAGTTACTTTCAGAAGAGGCTGGGAGCGAGAGAGATTATTGCTGATGTCAGATGAGTCTCTTGGCTGAAAGCAGAGACTA